TTTATTATTATGCAGTCCTCTTTCCTAGTCTTATCCCAGTCTCTCTTGCTCCGTAAAATCCGTCTGCTCTTCCCCTTGTTCACCTATTTCACTTGAATCCTGCCACCACATCTGTCCCACTCGAGGCGTCAATCGCCCTCCCGTGCGTCTGGGTGACTAATTTGAGGCGCAAGCCTTGCTTCCAAAAAGGTATTTTCATCCAGGATGGACTGCAGTTTTGATCTTACCTAGATCTCATCATCTCTATTGAAGCTCGAATCCTGGTAGTGAAACATATAGTCTCGACTTCGTAACTATAAACTATGTGTAATGTAAGGCCTTTAGTTATTTTGCTAGAACCTTTTGTTTGTGCAGGTCAAATCAGAAAGAAGCTTAAGCTTATATATCTTTTTTGTCGTAGCCTATACTATACTTCACTAGCTGACCTGTCGCCAAATATGATATGGCCTAGGTGCAGTTTCATCATATAATCATTTTTCGCATTGGCATTTTGTATTTATTAACCCTTTCTATTTTCTTTACTTCGGTCTATTTATTCTATTCTATAGTTCTTCTTCAAACAGATTTGATCGATCTTGACCCAAGTTTATCCTATTTTCGACAAACTTCTTTGGAAGCTCTTATGGCAATCGAGCTACCCGACGATGAGTTCCTTCTTGCATTTGAAAGTGAGTACTTATTGCGCTTCTTATTTAAAATGCCATTTTAGTTTGAGGGTATTTGGCACGTGGTATGTTTATATATTGACTCACTAAGGAGATTTTATGGCGACCCAGTGTCTCTAGACTTCAAATAATTCATCCATTGCGTTTTTTATAATTAAATGACATTGGCCTATAAGTTTTGGGAAGCTTGTTTGCCTCTTATTTTATCTGAATTTTTCCATAACGTTGGTTTAATCTCGTTTTTGCATTTTAGTCGTAGCGACAGGAAGACCTTGTAGAATGCACCTGGTTCTGCGTTTTCTGCTGTAGTATTTGTGATGATTTCCCGAATCGCACCGGAGACTTGCTACATTCCCAGACGTTTCGCCGGAATCGTAGTCGACATCGTCGGCAAGATGCGCCATCCTTACCACATAGTTTAACTTATCCAAGTAATAAATGAAAGCAATCCCATTAAAAAATTTTCTTTTTAACTGTTGTGGCATCACTCCTCACTCCTAGAGAAGCTAGGACAAAAATAGGGTAGATGTGATGCTTCACCGGTTGAACAAAATATTGGTCGTGTGGATTGCCTTCACTTGTCATTTTGGTAAGCTATTATTCTCTGCTAAGGACAGTGCCTCCGCTGATGATGCCGACAGTGCGCCTGAGAATGTACAAAGTCAACGATCTGATGCTGGAAATCTTCATAAATACTATGGTAAAGGATGCAGAACTAGTTACGCTCCACGAGATCTCCCAGTCACTCCAACTAATTTGTGGAAACGAGATCAAATTAACACTATATAGTTAGATGGAACTGCGACCAAACAAAAGGTCTTCATATCAACGATTTACTTTATTATGCCTGATTTCTCCTCATTTCTATAGACTGTGGAATCTATATGCGTGCTGGGCATCAGCGTTCTCGTCCTGATGAGCTGGTCTGGCCGGCGAAGCCCTTGTTTAACGGTTTCGCCTATCGAGCTCCTCTGCTCTACGTTTTCACCGAAATCGGGTTGGCCGTCTTTCACGTACCATCTGCTGCTTGGGTTGCCAGTCTAGCCTGCCGCCGCCTGCGGCCGTTAGCTCGCGATGCACATCTCTGTCTGATGCAGCCAACTTCCTCCGTTGCTACTGCCACTAATAGCATCACTACCACTATGGGGGCAACTTCTGGCGTTTCCGCACATTCGTTTAACATTATTCCTCCAGCTTCCCTTTTTTCAGCGACCGAGCGATTGACTACGGGATTAACGAATGGAACTGGATTCAACGCTGCCTCAGGATCACAAGGTAGCTTAGTATCTACCAACCATCAAGATGGCTCTTCTGTCTCATCAGCTAGTTCCACATCATCCTGTTCTATAGCGTCCTTTGCGCCCCACTCAGCGCCTCCTATACCGCATCCTAGCCGTTTTCCGGCCCCAGGAGCAGCCAATAACGGTGGTTCGGGCTCAATTGATTTGGACTCATCCTCTCCGGCTCCCCGTCTTACCAACACATGGTCGTCGCTGCACAACACTCCAATCTATTTGGCTGGTCTTTCTATCAACAGTGGTGGATGTAATAGCGTTGGGGCAATTGGTGGTATTCGTTTAGTCTATCTACCAGATTTGCCCATCCACTTTGACACATCAAGCCCGGTCGCTCCTCCAGCTGCATCTACTACTGTCGCCAATGAGTCTGGAGTTCCAGTATTTGGGACTAGTGGACTACATGGTTCAATAAGCCGAATAAGGTCGCGAAACCTAGAGCTTCCTATTGTTCAGCCGGCACATGCAGTTCGTAATCGAGTTCGTCTAATCACTTTATTACATTTCAATTCCAATTTTTACCTTTCCCATATATATTTAAGCGTTTGCGTCGTTTCTATAG